ATTCAGATATTTCCGCATTTTTTATGCTGCGCTAAAATAATGTGAATTGTCAGTGAATAATCTTTAACACGAATGGTACAGGAAATAAGATCGTAACTAAGATCTGCAGGCCGTAAAACTATAAAATACTAGAAAAAGTTGATAGTTACTAGCGGTGAGATTAGCCGTTTCCTTATGTAAAAACACTCCGCATTTATTAATAGATCATTTACCATTTCTGTTGGTTGGGAATTGAAAAATCGTTCTCTTAAAACCAGTTTCTCAGGAAAATATATTTATCAATATTTTTTTAAAAATTATTATTTACTGTGTGTCTGCTTCTTGAAAATAGTATTGTTAGAAGTGAATATTACATTTATTTTACGTTTTATTTAAACGACATCATCATCATCATCAATTTTATAACTGGCCGGGTGTTGACGGAGGGCCACTGTACTGTTGTTTAGATGTTAAATAATAGAAAATAATATTGATCATATAGAATCAAATCAGGCCAGATGCGGCAGAAATATTTAAAACAAGGACAAATGGTAGACTTATAAATATGTAAGATAAATTCTGGCGAGAAAATTCTAAGACGACACAGTGTATCAACTTTTTTTAACTGCAGACATAGCAATTGATTCAAAATACTCTTTCATTTATCACCCAAGAATGTTAATCTGAGAAGGCGCAGTAAGTCACTCTCCTGGAGGTTAGCATCGTTAAGCGGAGAATGACTGAGGCGCTGGAGAATGTTACGCAAGGCATGCTACAGCGTGTTTAGCAGGAGCCGGCCTACCGACTTGACGTAGGTCGTTTCACAAGTGGTGTGCCTATTGAAGATTTGTGAATCCTTGTGAAATTGCTTATAAAATCTAGGTCTTTATGAATCTTGTTCGAATTTTGATAAAAAAAATCTTTTATAGTTCAACATGAAGCGTATTTAATTTTGTTTGCTCGGCACAATGCAGTTACTCAAATATTCACATTTAAATGATGTCAGTTTTGGGGGACATACTGACTCTCTGTTATGGGACCTTACCCATAATAACATAATGGACTATGCCATACGTAATAAATACTGCGCCTCAAGAGGAAGAAGAGAGTTCCGTCTGAAGTCTAGAGTTCCGTCTGAAGTTTGGAGGAGGTCAGTCAGAGCGAGAGACTGAAGTCTGGAGTCCGAAACAGAGTCGCGTTCAGACAATTACTGCTAAACCTGATTGTTCGTACTAACCCTCTCTACTTCTCTGTATATATTCCTGTTTGATATCTGTGTTATTCCATATCCGCCTTCGAGTTCTTCATTATTGGTTCTACCTTGGACTATCACCGTGGTACAAGGAAGGCAGTTAATATTGCGCCTCAGGAGTCTGTAGAAACAGTTCAAGTCGAGTCAGTAGTTCAAGTTCAGAGTCGAGTCAGATCCGAAACAGAGTCGCGCTAAAATTACCGCAAGATTGTTCGTACATTGTTCTAACTAAACCTGATTGTTCTCTTTCTACTTCTCTGTATATATTCCTGTTTGTAATATATCTGTGTTATTCCATACCTGTGTTCGAGTTCTTCTTTATTGGTTCTACCTTGGACTATCACCGTGGCACAAGGAACCGGACCATAACACACACACACACACACACACACTATATATATATATATATATATATATATATATATATATATATATATTCTCTCGGAGACTCGATAGAGCTCTCTGAAGAAAGGGATAATTAAAAAAAAAAAGAAAAAGACAGTGACCGCTGCTGCTATTAATGCATTCCTTTTCAAGTACAAATTGAGTTCTCCTCACTACTGGCGTATTTCGTATAGAAAACGTTAAAATTTCCCTTTCTCTCTGCCGAGATTAGGGGTAGGATCTCTGACTGACCCCAAATCGGTCGAGTTTCGATCCCAGCTTGAAGCAATCGGACGTCTAGCCACACGGAAGAGGTGTGATACAGCGAAACATTTTGTCTGTGGATGACTATATATGTTTGTGTATTTTTGTGGGTGTGTGCGTGTGTGAGAGGGAGGGAGAGAATCGAAAAACGGAAAATAAAACACGTGGAAAAAAAATCTCTGTCTCGTGTCCGTTCAGGACGTAGGCGATCATGGCTCTCCATAACAACCTGTATTTCGTAGCTTTTGGCAATATATACCTTTTTACTATCCTTCCCACGACTTGTCATGCCCTCCATTTACACAGATTTGTTTTAAGCGGTCTTGAATACTTCCAGGCCAATACTGCTTTGCCACATACGAAACGACGCAAATCGATTATAATATATCGATGGTAATCTTTCCGATGAGCTCCATTTATTAGTGATATCAGCTCTAATATTTACAAACAGCCTCTTGTTACATCCACGGTGTTGATTAATTCATACACCCTACGTATTTCTATGATAAGAAGGTTTTTCCCAAGAAACGATACTTTATGAAACAAACGAGGGATTTTCTGGAAATTGTAATCTTAAGTTTTTTAAGTTTAACATTAATATTTAACGTAACTTTTACTTCCTAATATTTATTATTATGTTAATAGTAAACCTCTGATCTGAACGATATTGTATTGGGTGAAGACAAGTAAAAACAATAATTTTTCGAAACCGTCATTGCTTATATGTCCCAGATATTTTAATTACTTTTCGTTAAAATAACAATACTGCGGATAATGTTCTTTTTTTTTTAAATTCACTTCCGAGTTTCTTATAACGTTACCATTTTAGTTCTTGATCTGTTTCGTTGAATTCTGCCGAATTAAAATATGCATCTCAGCAAAGAAAGAGTTTTTGTTAAGTCTTCCTTCCAGACGCCCATTCATCATGGCGCACGATTTTAAATATGGCCGACATAAATTTCCAACTGCTGAAAATCGTTAACTTCTTATGAATGGTTTACGGATTCCAGTCAAAATCAAGGCCGAAGGGAAAATAATCTTGAAGCCCATTGTGAAGACTTTCAGGGGATTCTTGTCTTCCTATTTCTTGGAGGCTGCAAAGATATGAATGGGCTTTGTGTTTACACGAAATAAATGGCATTATACTTTTTATTAAATTGAAGGGAAATGAAATTAACAGCGCCATTAGTTGCCGTAAACAATAGGAAATGTTTCGCAGCTTATAAAGCTGTTATGGGCGAGGGACAGTAGCAAGGGGGAGGTAATTCATTCCATTTAGCTGGTGAAAAAAATATAAGAGGAAATGATTACAAAAGGCATGCTAAAATAAACAGTATTTGAACAGATAAAATTGTTGAAAAGGAGAGTGAGAAAAGAATGATCGAGCTGATAAAGAAAGCGTATCAGGTAAAGGGTGGTGAAAAAGTAATTGAGGTAATAAGGAAGAATAAAAAACGAAAAAGAAGAAAAAAAGGAGGAGAAAACGGGAGAAGAGGATTAAGGAAGAAAAAGTAGAAGAAGAAAAAAGAGAATAAGAAAAGAGAAGATGATGATGATGATGAAGAAGAAAGAGAGAAAGAAGAAGAAATGGGAAAAGATTACAAGGGAAGAAAAAGAAGAGGAAATAAGAAGAAGAAAAAGGATAAAAAAAGAAGAAAAGGGAGAAGAAAAAAGAAGAAGAAAAAAGAAGAAGAAAACAGAAGAAGAAAACAGAAGAATAGGAAGAAAAAGGAACAACAAGAAGAAGAAATGTAAAATGAGGACGCAGTAAGAATAAGAAGAATGGGTAAAAAAGAAAATAAGGAAAAAGAAAAAAGAAAAAGAAATGGAAGAAGAGGACAAAAGAAGAAAAATAAGAAGAAAACAGAAGAAGAAGAAGAAGAAGAAGATGAAAAAAGAATAATAAGAAGAAATGGTAGAAGAAAACGAAAGTAAAAATGAATAAGAAAAAACAGACGGAGAAAATTGAAGAAAAGAAGAAGAAGGAAAAAGAAAAACGAAAAGACGACGAAGGTAGAAAGGGAATGAGAAGACAATGGAAAAAGAAGAAAAAAGGATAAAGAAGAAACGGGATGTGGACGAAGGAAGAAAAAGAAGCAGAAGAATACAGAAGAAGAAGATAAGAAGAAATGGCAGAAGAGGACGAAGGAAGAAAAAGAATAATGTGAAAACAGAAGAAGAAACAGAAAAGAAACATGTAGAAGAAACCAGAGAAGTGGACGAAGGAAGTAAACGAATAAAGAAAAGAAGAAGAAGAAGAAGAAGAAGAAGAAGAAGAAGAAGAAAGGAACAAGAAGAAGAAATAGAAGATGAGGGCGAAGGAAAGGAAAAGTAAGCGATGAAAAGAAAGATGTGTAAGAAAAGAACAAGATGAAGAAGAAGATAAAAAAGGAAATAGCGAAAGGGGAAAAAGAAAAGAAAATAGCGAATGTTGAAATGAAGATGAAAAAGAAAACGTGAAGAAGGAGAAGGAGAAGATGACGTAGACGAAGAAGATAACATCAAACAAAAGAGCGTGTAAGAGAAAAAAGAAGAGGAAGGAGAAAAATAGGACGAGAAAGAAAAGAAAAGAAACGAAGAAAAAGGGCGAAAGAAGCAAAAAAAGCGTAAAAGTGGATCTTACAAAAAAAAATGAATAATGAAGAAAAAATGGGCAAAGACGAAGGAAGAAAGAGAATAAGAAAAAACGGAAGTAGATGATGAAGAAGAAGAAAAAAGAACAAGAAGAAGAAAATTGGAGAAATGGACGAAGGAAGAAAAGGAGAAGAAAAAACAAAAGAAAAAGAAGAGGAAAAGTATAAAGAAGAATAAGAAATGGGAGAGTATGAAGAAGGAAGAAAAAAAAAAGAAAACAGAAGAAGAAACAAGAATAAGAAATATCAGAATAGGACGAAGGAAGAACAAAGAAGAAGAAGAAGAAGAAGAAGAAGAAGAAGAAATGGAACAAAAGGACGAAAGGAGAATAAGAATAAGAAGAAAAAAAAAAAGATAAAGAAAGAGAAGAAATGGGCAAAGAAAACGATGGAAGAAAAAGAATGAGAAAACAAGTAGAAAAAGGAACATGAAGTAGAACGATCAGTAGTAGAAGAAGAAGAAGAAGAAGAAGAAGAAGAAGAAGAAATTAGAGGAGAGGAAGAAGGAAAAAACAGTAGAAGAGGTCGAGGGGAGAATAGGAAAAAGGAAAGGAAAAGGTAAACGGTGGAAAAGATGATGTGTAAGAAAAAGAATAAAATGACGAAGAGGATGAAAGAGAAGAAAAGAGTGAAAGAAGAAAAAAATAAAAATAGCGTTGCGTTGAAAAGAAGATGATGAAAAAGAAATCGTGAGGCAGGAGAAAGCGAATGTGACGTGGATGAAGGAAAAGGAAAAGGGCTTGTAAGAGAAAAAAGAAGAAGTAGAAAAATAGGATGAGAAAGAAAATAAAAAAGAATAAAAAGGGTGAATGAATTAAAAGAAATACGTAAAAGCGGATCGCCCCCCCCTACCAAAAAAAAAGAAAGAGATGAAGAAAATTACGAAGGTGAGGTGTATGAGAAAAAAAAAGAAAAAAGTGCAGAGATAGAAGAAAAAAAAAAGAAAAGAAAAGAAGAGAAAGGGTGGAAGAATATGAAAATGAAAGCTAATCTAAGAAAAGGAGGAGAAGTTGGAGAAGTGGATGGGGAACATGAAGAATGAGGGTAATGAAAAAGTAAAGGTTTATAAGAAAAAGACAAATGTGGAAGGAAAAAGAGGAAGAAGTATAACGTGCCACAGATGAGAATAAATAGGAGCAAAGAAGATGAAGAAGATTATTGCCAATTATGGGCGCCGAAGGAAAAGAAAGAATACGTCAAAAAAAAAAAAAAAAGAAACGGAATTACGAATTGTATATTTCTTCGGTCGAGCTGTAGCTCGGACATTCATGAGGCTATTACGCCAACCATCACGGTCCTGCATCAAGGTCGGAAAGTCATTACGGTGGCATTCTTTATCATTACATAGTTGGTTAATATAGGTTGTTGCTAGGTAACCAACCCACCTTGCGTCATGTGTAGGGGATCTTTTACAAATTCATGGGTGACTTGCCAGCAGTGTCGTGGAACGTGCATTCTCCTTACACGTAAGACTGAGGAAGAGAAAGAAAAACAGAGCGAAAGAAGAAAAAGAAAAGAAAATAGCGATCCGTTGAAATGAAGATTAGGAAAAAGAACACGTGAGGATGGAGAAGGAGAAGATGACGTGGATGAAGGAGAAGAAAACTAGGAAAAGGGCCTACAAAAGTAAAAAAAAAAAGAAGAGGAAGAAGAAAACTACGACGACAAAGAAAAAAAAAAAGAAGAAAAAGGGCGAAAGAAGTAAAAAGAAATTCGTAAAAGTGGATCTTCCAAAAGAAGAAAAGAACGGAATGAGGAAAAGAAGGAAGTGGAGAAGAGGAATGATGAATTGTATATTTATTCGGTCGAGCTATAGCTCGGACATTAATGAGTCTGTTACGCTAACCATTACGATACTGCATCAAGGTCAGAAAGTGGTGTGGCATCCTTTGTCATTAAATAGTTGGTCAATGTGGGTGGTTGCTAAGCGACCAACCCACCCTGCGTCATGGGTAGGGGTCCAGAGCAGTAGATCTTTCAGAAATTCATGTGTGACTCGCCAGCAGTGTCATGTAAAATACATTATGCTTTCAAGTAAGATTGTAAACAGTAAAAATATCGGGGATGAATACAGAGAGCTGGTGCTTACTTGGATGTTGTCTCCAAGAGATGTTAAGTATAGCTCTCAGCATCTGAGTGTTAATTCCATCAACTCAGGGGTTTTAGTTAAAGCCCTAGGAATGGCATCATACAATAAAACCTACTCAACAGTGGTGCGAAAGAAGCTCCGTTTGAGGTGCTCTGGTGGATTAAATTTCCAGATTACATCCATTTTATTCAAGGAATCCAAGGGTTTAGGCAAGCGATGTTTTAAAATTCTTTTCTGTAGAAATTGTTTCGCTTCTTAGATATGTAAAACATTCGACAGATTTTATAGATTCACTTGAGACCGTTTGTACTGTTCCTGGCTGGTTGTAGCTCATGAAAAAATCATTCAAATACAGTCTGTTAAATAAAGAAAAAAAAACTGCGAATGATGTCGGACAAGAGAAAATTAAAAAGGAATAAAAATGGTTAATGAAGAAATAAATAATTTACATTATTTACATTGTTCAGGCTTTTGCTTCCATCTTTATTCTCATATTCACGACATTTCGGCCGTTGTATGCTCCAGTCTTCTTCAGGTGATTAGAATTTCGAACTTTACCCTTTATTTCGTCAACCGGGGTAGATTGTTCTAGCTCCACTGGAACGGCCGAAATGTCGTGAACATGTCAATAAATAAAGATGAGGACAACAGTCGGAACAATGTAAATAATGTAAATTATTACAATACCTTATGTCTGAAATATAAACAGATATTGAGGAAATACATGAAGAAATAAATTCATGAGTATATGTCATAAAAGAAAACAACAATATGGAACATCTTGTTCTTTTTCTTACACATCATCCTTTCCAAATATATATATTTTTGGAAAGTTATGAATATTCTTCTTCTCCTTGGGTTCTATAGCCTTGGATGACCACTGATATATTGTCTAAATCAAATTGGCTTACAGTACATACGATTTCACAAAACACTCGACAGGAAAGAAAGAAAAAAAAAAACGTACAAGAAAATTATATATATATATATATATATATATATATATATATATATATATATATATATATATATATATATATATATATATATATATATATATATACTAGTGTCCACGTGCCGGCAAAATTGACAGCAAGAAGGAATGTATTATAAGTAATATGTATTATATTGTAAATAATTTTGATTTAATCCAAATACAATTTTGTAATTAAAAATAGTTCTTTGTTGACGTTAATAAGTAATCGTTTTATAACGTGTGAATAAACTCCCTTTTCTAACATAAGTATATATTAAGCACGATGGAGTGATGATAGCGGCTCGGATTGAGGAATCGGAGAGCCGAGTTCGAAATCCAGTCAGATCCATTACATTCTCTTACTTGGGAAAGGTATGAATATTCTTCTACTCCCTGGGTTCTATAGCCTTGGATGACCACTGGTCTAGGAGAAGGAGAACACTGAATCCAAAAAGATTCAAGTTTTATAATTATTTACTGGGGAGGTACGGTGAAGTAATGGATAGCGTCCCGGGGTTGTAAGCAGTGTGACTGAAAACAATGACAAAAAGATACGGTGATTGATTCGTTTTTTACGGTTTACCAACTCTTTGCGGATTATTTAATGACAGAAAATATGCTTAGACTCTAAAAAATTTTTTTGCGATAATAATGGTTTAATGAAACAAATCTTACTATTTAACCCATAGCTGAGGAGAAAGAAGGCGGATCCATAAATTCCCCAAGGCTATTTTCTGGTAAGAGAATATAACGAACCCAACTGGAATTGGAACTCGGATCTCCGATTAACAATTCTGAGCCATTATCCAATACACCACCCGTACACCCAAGCACCTGCTATTCCCAAACGATCACTCGTATAGTTACTGACCAGGCACAACTTTGCTTAACTTTAGTGATCGTACGGGAACCAGTGTTTCAATGTGTGTTGGCCGTAGCCTGAAAAAAAAGAACAAAAACAAAAAACAAAACAGAATGCAAACGGTAAATGTTAGCGTTATGTTAGCCGTTTCCCTGTAAGGAAATATTCACAATTCTTTGTTCGACACGCCAGTACTGTTGTCGGTTGAAATTTATAATATCTTTTGTCCCAAAATAATTTTTCCGGATAATTGGTTTCTCAGATCCGGTATTAGTTATCGTTCTTCCCTGTACTGATTGACGTTTCCTTCCTAGGCTTTTATTTGAAGTAGTGTGGAAAGTCAACATCTTGATTATGCTATCATTTTCTCTTCAAATTACAAGAGCAATCCACTTTAGCTGTTGCTGCTGTTGGTACTCTTCAAGTGATGTGGTTTCTGTTATAGTACATTGTGATTGTGTAGCGCCAGTCCACAATATTCGAAGAAGGGTAGTCTTCATCAAGACTCATCGACTTGATGCTAAAAAGCGCTTGTATACAGTGATCAGTTTAGATATTTCTGAACGGGTTTGGCACCATGCATGACATCCATATGAACGTCTCGATCGGATGAAGCTATTTAAAATAATTTTTTATATATATATATATATATATATATATATATATATATATATATATAATTTATTCGAAAATTATGACATATGTTATAAAATCACTACAAAAATAGCTATTTTGTCTCAAAACTTCTGGTGACATATCAAGTTAGTGTTGGTGTTGAATATATATATATATATATATATATATATATATATATATATATATATATATATTGTATGTATTTAGGCAGCATATTTTCATTGATGCATGTGATGATGCAATGGACAAAACTTATTTAATGAAAATAATATAGACAAGTGTTGTCTATTTATTTTATGTAAATTCTTTTCATATCGTCTGATAAGCTTAATACCATTCTCATTAGAAGACAAAAGGATGTCACCATATTGATACATATTTTTTAATCCTATCTCTCGCGTGGTCATGTGTGACGTCATGAGCTGCAGTGCGAGTTTCGCTTCCAGAGTCTCGTATGCACGAGTTTATCGTTGCTTGGAAATCTCCCATGTAAAAAAAAAAAAAAAAAAAAAATATCATCATTGTTTTGTCCGTGTATTGGTTTATATATTGTAATGTAATTATCATTTTTGATAATGGCTTATGTAAGCCGAAAGCTTAGATAGGATTGAAAAAAATATGTATCAATATGGTGATTTTCTTTCTTCTTAATGTTATTAAGCTTATCAGACGATATGAAAAGCATTTACATAAAATAAATAGAAAACACTTGCCTATATTTTTTAATGACACATACGTCAATATCTCTCTCTTTCTCTCTCTTTCTCTCTCTCTCTCTATATATATATATGTATATATATATTAGTATTAATATATATGTATTAATATATATGTCTGTATATATTAGTATTTTATATATATATATATATATCTTAATATATATTGATATATGTTTATATATATATATATATATGTATGTATATATTAGTATTGATATATGTATATATTAGTATTACTATATATATATATATATATAAGCTAAAATTTCACGTAATCTGAAAATGACAAAGTGGTAGACAGAGCTTAAATAGTTTATAGATAACTCAGAGTAGCGTGTTTCGATTACTATATTATTGATTAATAATACACACACAGGCATATATATATATATATATATATATATATATATATATATATATATATATATATATATATGCCTGTATGTGTGTGTGAGTGCAACAGCGCATGTATGAATATGTTTATGCATAACAGAGTGACGAAATAAGAGTCAGGCTATAGGACAGTTTTCTGTAAGAAAACTGAACAATGATACAGTTTGTTTTGTGTGTGTTGTTTCGTATTCTCGCAGACAGCCACTCCAATTATATCCACTACGCCTTGGGGTTTTATGTTCCATAATTAAAGAATCCCATCGAAGATAAGTTAATCACAGGAAGAAGTGACGCGCGTGAGGTGCATATCGTCTAAATCAAATTGGCTTACAGTACATACGATTTCACAAAACACTCGACAGGAAAGAAAGACAAAAAAAAACGTACAAAAAATAAAAAATATATATATATATATATATATATATATATATATATATATATATATATATATATATATATACTAGTGTCCACATGCCGGCAAAATTGACAGCAAGAAGGAATGTATTATAAATATTATGTATTATATTGTAAATAATTTTGATTTAATCCAAATACAATTTTGTAATTAAAAATAGTTCTTTGTTGACGTTAATAAGTAATCGTTTTATAACGTGTGAATAAACTCCCTTTTCTAACATAAGTACATATTAAGCACGATGGAGTGATGATAGCGGCTTGGATTGAGGAATCGGAGAGCCAAGTTCGAAAGCCAATCAGATCCATTACATTCTCTTACTTGGGAAAGGTATGAATATTCTTCTACTCCCTGGGTTCTATAGCCTTGGATGACCACTGGTCTAGGAGAAGGAGAACACTGAATTCAAAAAGATTCAAGTTTTTTATAATTATTTACTACGGTGAGACACGGTGGAGTAATGGATAGAAGAATCGGAGAGCCGAGTTCGAATTCCAGTCGAATCCATTATATTCACTTACGTGCTATACCCTTGGGAAAAATATGAATCTTCTTCTTCTTCTTCCTAAGTTCTATAGCCTTGGATGACCACTGGTCTGGGAGAAGGACAACCCTGACTTAAAAAAGAATCAATTTTTATAATTATTTACTGCGGAATCATGGATAGCGGCTCGGATTGAGGAATCGGAGAGCCGAGTTCGAAATCCAGTCAAATCCATTACATTCACTTACGTGCTAATACCCTTGGGAAAGGTATCAATCCCAGCTATGGGTAAATAACAGTACAGACCGGATCCTATAGCCTTGTATGGCAACTGGTCTACCTCAGAAAGAAATGGCAACCGACAGCGGAAAAATCTCTGCCTTATCAATCATGTATCAAAGGGTACATAATCGCCTCAGCGTGTATAACGCATGGCACATAACTACTAAACTAAGGAAAGATGTCCGTATATATATATATATATATATATATATATATATATATATATAAGAAAAATTTGGAAAAAACAAACCAAAAATCCTTAAATGCAATTATGTTGTTTAAAATGAATGAAATGTCGACGTCTGACGTTTCGGTTTAATAAACCTTCTTCAAGACAATATTCATTAAAATCGCCCATGTGACGACAACGTGACCATGCTAAACGGAAAACTGATCATTTAAAAAATTTTCAGTTATCTGTTTTGGATAAGACTTGTTTTTTATGTCCATCGTCTTTGTCAATTTGAACTGAATTGTATTTTAATGAATATTGTCTTGAAAAAGGTTTATTAAACCGAAACGTCAGACGTCGACATTTCATTCATTTTAAACAAACATAATTGCATTTATGATTTTTTGTTTGTTTTTTTCCAAATTTTCTTCATTCTGTCGGATCTATATCCATTTACATTTGCTTACATATATATATATATATATATATATATATATATATATATATATATATATATATATATATATATATTATCCTAATAAATGCTATATATGTCCAACAAAAAACATGCTTATTACAAAAAGTTCCCAAAGCACAATATTTTTTGTGTGAATTTTGGAAGATCTAAGTAATACTTGAGAGACCGTAGATTTAATCTGTAATTTCAAAGTCTGCTTATTTCTCGTCCTACTTAGAGCAATGCATCATCAGATATTTTTATATTTATTTATTCTTAAGCTATTGCCAAATTCTACAAGATATGCTGCGAATCGTAGCATAAAAAATCAATTAAAATCTAATTATTTAATTGTATATGTATAAGCTTTTAATTGCTATCATAAATAATTATTTACATTATTCGGACTATTGTCCTCATCTTTTTAGCCATATTTATTACAACGTTTCGGCCGTTGTACGCTCCGGCCTTCTTCAGGTGGCTGGAATATCGAACTGAACCCTTTATTTCGCTCACTGGTGTAGACTGTTCTAGTTCCACGTGCCATGTTTAATGGATCAGTTATCAGTTATCTCCTGTTAATTTCCGTCTGAAAGATCTCCAGGTCCTGTCACTTGAGGACATCTGTAAGACATGTGTAAGAATTTCTGAGTATTATAAACCTAATGTCTTCAGCAACCATTTTTACCAGTGCTCATATTGCAATTTTTTGCTGTTATCATGGCATGTTTTTACCAGAGCACATATTGCAAATTTTGTTGTTATTATCGCTATTCTCTGGCACTCCTTAATACTGGTTCCCATATTGTATTCATTTCTATGCTTGGTCGGCTCAGGAGATTTTTGTGGCCTAGCATATCTGCCGATTCCTTAAGTTTACGAATTTTCCAGTGGTGTTCCTTGTCTATGATCTCAATCTGATCCCAAGCACAAAGCCGCCCAGGTGTAACATAACAAAACTGAAGAGGCTGGTGATCGGATCCCTACAGAGGAACGAAAACATCATCATACTACCGGCTGACAAAGGCAATGCGACTGTAGTGATGAACACATGGTAGAGTGGATAAAGGCGTTGGTTAGATCCAGTGACAGGACTCAAAGAGTGTGAGTTCAATACCCAGTTAAGGCAGTGGAAAACATGGAGAGGGGAATTAACAGGAGATAACTGATAACTGACAACCATTAAACATGGCACGTGGAACTAGAACAGTCTACACCAGTGAGCGATATAAAGGGTTCAGTTCGACATTCCAACCACCTGAAGAAGGCCGGAGCGTACAACGGCTGAAACATTGTAATAAATATGGCGCCAAAGATGAGGACAATATTCCGAATAATGTATTAGGTTAGTGCAAAAATAATGACGTAATAATGTCGTTTTTGACCTTAAAAATACAAAAAAAACGACATTATTACGTCATTATTTTTGCACCAACCTAATAAATAATGTACATAATACCTTATCTCAGAAATATAGAAAGATATCATAAATAATGTAAATTAAGTATGTAATGT